TTCATAACAAACAAAACGAGCGTAAATTAAGCACTAGAAGATGGGCAAAATTTTTAGATTGTATAGTAGGACAATGATATAAAGTAGAATTTGAGCATATTAAAGGAAGTGATAATAGATTAACAGACTGGTTAAGTAGAAAAATTTATTTAGAAAAAGAAGATAACCAGTTTAATTTTTGTGCAGATAATGGAAAACAGCAAGACCATGAACTTTGGGGGATTTTCTCTTCCCATTCATGAAGGCAGAACCAAGTTCAGACCTTTAACAAGGATTGAGTTAGATCCAGTTCAACAGTGTCTTTTAGATAACCTTTGGACCAGTCAAAACCACCCAACTAAGCGCCTTTCAGCTCTAAACTCTCTCAGTATATATTTTTCAAAAATCCAAAACAAGCCCTTGTCTAAAAGTTTTTCTTTCTATGTAGTAGCTAAAGGAACCAAGCCTGGTATTTACCATGATTGGATAGAAGTAGAACCTTTAGTCAAATATTTTCCCACACCTCAGTTTAAAGGATTTTATGATTTTGAGTCAGCCAGTACCTATGTCCGAAGACAAATAAGAACTAGTTACTTTATTAGCCAGATAGCTAAAGATTACCTGGACACATTGAGCAAGATGAGATCTACCATCCTTGCTACCAGTGGAATTCCAGTTAGCCAGACAATTGGAAGTAGTCGTACAGGCAGCAGTAGTTCTAATCCTCAGATAAATTCTCAGAATCCTCTCCAAATGTGCAGACATTGTGAAGGCCTTTCCAGAAATTTCAAGAAAATTATGGATAAAGGCAAGAAGGTCAGTGAAGAGCTAGACCAGCTTCAAGACGAAGAAAAACAATTGAAAGCAACCGTTCGAACCCTAACCAACCAGCTTAAAAAATTAGCTCCAGAAAGAACATCTACCTCATTACCTAGCCCAGAAATCAAACAACTCACTAGTGAGGAATTTGACCAATTGAGTGCTAGAATGTATTTCTCTAGGCATTCTATCATTCGATCCTTTTATGAGAAAAACCAAGTAATGAAAGACCTAAAACCCTATATTTATACCTTAGCCGAAGATAGCAGAAATAACGAGTTAGTCATTATTCAGCAATTTCTTCAAGATCTCTCCATAGCAAGAGTTGACTGCCCCGGCCTAGCTTATCAATGGACCTATACCTATGAAGATGAAGAGCAACCCTGCTTAGACGAAGAAAAATGCAATAAGAGGTCAGAACATTTTGATAGATGTCAGTGTAACCTAGACTTCAGTATTTGCCTTTGCCAGATAAATTTAGCTACATTCGAGCCATTGGAGATAGAAATTAGGGGCGAAACTCGTTATCTAACAGCCTCAAAATTGTTAGATTACGGCTTTGTCTCTAGACTAATTTTCACAGATCCAAATCAGACAGATAACTTTGGACACAAGCTTGCTCATGCAGTACTGTGCGTAATGGAAGAACATCGTCCGTTTGTGGAAGCTTTGATAGATAACAAACTACCAGAGTGGAAGGGAATATGGTGTAATCCAGCTAAACACAAAATGTACCTCAGAGGAACCTCTACATTCCCAGGATACCCAGGACTTCTCAATAGGAGACCCTGGCCATGCAGAAGTTTTTCACTCAAAGACCAGCTCAATAAATGGAGAAAATTTGCTAGCAACTCTCTCTTAGCCTATAATGGAAATTATGGACATCTAGTCTGTGAAGATAGACATCAGAAGATACATTGTAATTTAGCCATCCCAGGATATCCATTCAGCAAAGAGACATTTGTCGATGAAAGTCAGTACCCGAACTATCAGCATGGCGTCTCTCATGAATCACCGGTGATGGGAGAGAATGATCAAGAATGGTACGATGAACCACCCATGGGAGATGGGGATGACTTTTACGACCAACTCTCAGTAGCAGACCTTGACGACCTAGCAGACAGAATGTATGGGTAAAAAAAAAAAAAAACAAGGGGTCCCACTACAAGACTCATATAATCTTTTAAAAAATATTTCTACGTGACTCTTTCAATTTTGCAAAACATTCGAGAACCCGCCTAGAAGCATTACTCCATGGGTCAGCATCAATAATTGCCTCTCCGTCAAAAGAAGACAAAATCCATAGAAGATAGAGATTCTCCTCAGATATCAGAAAAATGCACGCCAAGAAAAGACAAAAAAGATTTTTGTAGATATTTTGTGAGTCTGTCAGTGATAAGGATTTTCCTTCACTCACTACTTTAATAAAGTGGATATCTCTTATCTTGCTTTATTAAAGAAAAGCTGTGACAATCTTTATACGTGTCTTGCAATAAATTATAGTGTCAAAATTTTGTCAAAAAAGAAGGATTGAATGATATGCGATGGGGCCCAAAGTAGTACCCAATATCATTATCCCAATCTTTTATTGATAAAATTTATCTATATCCATAATAGTGATTTAAGTCAAGCATATAATTGTATACATATATATCTTGTCTTTATATGCATACAATTTTCCGTCAAAGTTTGCATATGTTTAGGAAAGTTTTCAAAAAGCCTAGAGTCTAGGCTTGTAGGTTAGTCATAGGACATAGATTAGAGTTTCTGTTTTTATCTTTCTTTTGAGTTGTATAAAATGGCTTGCATGCCAACGAAGAAAACAGAATGAAAAACACCACTTCACTCTGCGTTGTAAATTTTCCAACCCCTCTCAAAAACCTCTAAGTGTATTAAGTTTTTCAGAGTTTCAGAGTCTGTAATATAATCTTTGTAAATATATTTCTTATTAATATGAAGTGTGAGTAGTTTCTCTTTTTCCTTAAATATTTCGAAAGGGTAACTCTTCTATTCTAAAAATTTATTTTCTTTTTTGGAAAAACTAAGTTTATGGAATGCTTGTTTGCTCATTAATATTACATGTTTTGAGCCTTCGTAGTATCTTCAGTTTTCTATTTTGTTACTGAGTAACCTTAGCTGAAGAGCCTGTATGAGCCGTGGTTAGGCGTTGGAGGGCGAATTGTAGGCAGAAAGGGAAAAGTATAAAATGGAAAATAAAAATATACTATGTTGAACGAGGCTTAGTCTCAAGGTGGGAGTATATGTAATGAAAACAAACACTGCCTAAAAATAGTTTTTGCCATAGAAAAGAATTTTAGAATAAAAGGAGAGCAACCCGAGTAGAAATATTAAGGAAATATTGTCCATATAAGAATTTCAAAAAATCAAAAATTTGTATGCCCTTAGACGTAGACCTTAGAAATGAAAATTAAATTTCAAAAAATCAAAAATGTATATGCCCTTAGACGAAGACCTTAGGAATAAAATTAAAATTAGTACTGAACTAATACAAGAATTAGAAGATCAAAAATTTAGATATCAGTTTCTTTTATCATTAGTTTCTAACAGATCTCTAGAAAATTACAATTTAAAAATTTCTCAGATAAATAGACAGCTAACTATAAAACAAGAAGCCTTAAAGTTAGCCATACAACAGCTTGAAGATCTTTTAGCATAACTGTAGAATTAAAAAATTATTTTTTATAAACTCAATACAATTAATTTCAAAATATAAAAAGTAAACTATTAAGGGTTCGTTTGGGATGTGAAATGGCTTTTTGGCTTTTCTCCTATTTTAGCCTGGGATTAAAAAGTTTCGTTTGTGATAAGTTTTTTGGTTTTTTTAATTTTTATGAAGGAAAAAATGAAATGATTATGGATTGAATGTGACTATTTTAGTCATATTTGGCTAAAATAGTCTATTTTGTCTTATATGACTATTTTAGTCCAAACACTCATCCCAAAAGAGGCGTAACTATATTTGTTGAGTCAAAACCATTAAAACTAAAATAATTAACTTAGGTAGCGTTTGATAACGTTTATGTTTTTGGTTTATGTTTACAAAATTTTTATAAACTGATTTTTGTTTATTTTTAGAAAAACAAAATTATAAACGCGTTTAGTTTGAACCAAATGTTGAAAAAAATTTAAAAACATAAACTAAAAAATATGTTTGTTCAGACCTAAAATATTTATATATTTTTTTTATTATTTATGACAATGGGATCACACACATTATAATTGAAAAAAATTAATTTAAAAAAATAATTGAAAAAAAATTAGTTGGGAAAAAAATTTAATTGAAAAAAAGATTAATTGAAAAAAAAAGTAATTGCAAAAAAATTAATTGGAAAAAATATTATTTGAAAAAATAATTAATTGAAAAAAAAATTATTTGAAAAAAAAAATTGAAAACTGAAAACGTAAACTCATTTTTTGAGTTTATATTTTTTCTTTAAATTTATAAATTGAGATAACCATTTATAAACAAAAAAAAAAATATCAAACAAGTTTTTATGACAATTTTTTTAAATTTTTATAAATATAAACTAAAAACTGAAAACGGAATGATTATCAAACAGACCCTTAATAACTAATTTGATAGAAATAAAATTTAGTAATTTATTTATTATTTTAACTAAAAAATAAAATAACTAATTTGAGGGAAATATACTCCCAGACCAACAAATTAAGGGGTGATTTGGAAAATTAGTTAAAAGTTGATTTTTTTTAAAAAAATTATTTTATATTTAAACAATGTAAAAGATGATATGACTCAAAATAAATTAAAAAATAAAAGTTTACTTTTTTTTTTTTTCTTTTTCAAATGGCCCCTAAATTATTACACTGATTTCGATTACAATTTGCATTCCTAAATGAGTAATATTAGAGATACTAAATTTTCTATCAAATATATGATCAAATGTCTCTCATAAGTGTGAAGTCTATAATTTTATGAACTCAATATGCATTTAGTCATTAATTTGATAAAAAATTTGAAAGCATTTTGAAACAAACGAAAAGAGGACGAAAGCACGCAGATCAGGATCCGTGTGCTCCCCAACCAAATAAAATCCAAACCGTTCATTCTTATCCACATTCAACGCTCCAAATTCACTCGCGCCACACTTTTCTTTTCCCCCCAATTTGTTCAAAATTTTACTGCCTCTCCCTGTCCCTCCTCTCCTATATGTATACACATCTCCATGCATACACTTACCTCATCACCACCACCACAACGTCACAAAACCAAACCATTCTCTCTCTCTTTCTAAAGCTTTCTCATTTCTCTCTCTACAATGGCAAGAACCAAGCAAACCGCCCGGAAATCCACCGGAGGTAAGGCCCCGAGGAAGCAGCTGGCAACAAAGGCAGCCCGGAAGTCGGCTCCGGCGACCGGAGGAGTGAAGAAGCCGCACAGGTTCAGGCCGGGAACGGTGGCGCTGAGGGAGATAAGGAAGTACCAGAAGAGCACTGAGCTTTTGATTCGGAAGCTTCCTTTTCAGAGATTGGTGAGAGAGATCGCTCAGGACTTTAAGACTGATCTGAGGTTCCAGAGCAGTGCTGTTGCGGCTCTCCAGGAGGCTGCTGAGGCGTATTTGGTGGGGTTGTTTGAGGATACGAATTTGTGTGCGATTCATGCGAAGAGGGTTACGATTATGCCTAAGGATATTCAGCTTGCGAGGAGGATTCGAGGCGAGAGAGCTTGATTTGTGGAGCGTTTAGGGTTTTGGATCTGTAGTATTTTTTTTTTTTTTTTGTGGGTTAGGGTTTCTGTTCAAATTAATGTAACAGTTCCAATTTCTGTGTCACTCTTGCTATTTCTCTGATTCCCAATCGTTGTGATGATGGGATCAAACAGCTTGTTCTTGGAAAGTTTGACAATTGAAGGTTGTTCAGATCTTATCTCTATATCTGTATCTTATATACACATATCAGCATTTGATTGTGAATTATTTGTTGCAAGAGAAGTGTATGCACTGTAAATTGAAAAATGAAGGCTTTGTTTGGTTTGTTTTTTAGAAAAATTCTCTATAAACAAATTTTTAAAAGTAATTAAATTAAACAAATTTTTAAAAAAAAAAATTTAAAATTTTGTTTGGTTATCTATTTTTCAAAATTACTTTTTTTTTCATATACATCAAATTGATTATTTTTTTTTTAAATTCTCTCTTTAAAACAATTTTTTTAAAACTATTTTTGGAAAAAGACAAACCAAATAAATTTTAATATTTTTTATCTCAAAAATTATTTTGCAAACACAAATCAAACACATCCAAAGTTTTATTGATTGCAATTTCTACCCTCTTCTAAGATTAAATATTGCACAAAATAGTAGTATGCATTTGAATTTTGTCTGCCTTTTTTTAGGAAGACTGCCAATGCATTCCCACCACCACCACCCCCTCTTTACATCCTCCATCACAATGGCAATGATGAGTAGTGGCTGTAGTGGTCAACAACCTTTTGTTTTTCCTATTGGTTTTTTTTTTCGGGGGTCTATTTCTATTTGGGTTTCCATTCACAATCAACCATTAACAACATTTTTTCTCACCATTGGCATATGTCTATTTAATGCACCCATCAATGCTAATAGGCCATGTTTGGATTGTGCTGCAACAGTTGTGGATGATGCCTGCAATTCCCGACAATGGCCGATGGAGAAACAGGACATGAGTTCTTAGAGGTGATATTTGGCTGTTGGGATGTGAGAAGACCAGCAGATAGCAGGGAGCAGACAGTAGCTTTTGTGATTGTGACGGTGGTGCTCAGTTGATCCATACGGTTGAACCAGCCAACCTTGTCCAGTTTAAACACAACATTGGGCATGCAAAAGAAAAGTAGAAATGAGGCAAGGGTTAACACCAGTCTGAGGGTCATGTGATAAAAAGCAAACAAAAATTTCATGAAGATAAAAGGTGGTGGCGGCAGTGGCAAAAAATGTAACTTACCTAAATGGAAAGCAGAGGGAGAATCTTATCACAAAGAACTAAAAAGGGCCTTCACCTTTCATAATGCATTCCAGAAATACGCAAGAATGACTCGCCTCAACATGTTCGAAGATATACTAAACTTTCAAAACTTCAACAACTTACAAGAGGGGTAAAAAAATGTCTTCCCATGGTCAAAATGCCCATTACTAGGAATCCAATAGGCACGGTTGCAAGAAACAAAATATAACTAATGTATAAAAGAAAAAGATAACCTTTACTGTTACAACAATTTTAACTGGATGAACCAGTTGAAGGTGTGTTGAGGGCACCATTAAAATAAGAGAACTTATCTAATAAACAGGGAAACCAAAGAAAGGAGGGAGAAGGCAAAGCTTTACAGACCCAAGGATAGAACTGAAAACTGGACTTCATAGTTTATTAGAAAATTCCTATTCAATAGCAAACCAAACACCAACAACTTAAATAAATTCTACATGATGATCGGCAATAAAAACTACATAATCCTTTCTTCTCCGCTCTGCAATGGACAAATATCAAAATCGAATTAGAATGCGACAATTACAACAAGACGCAATAGAAAATGGTCAAACCAATAGATGAAGCAAAATATTATCTCCTCTTGCCCAAAGCTCTGACTCAAATTCAGACCAGCCCATCTCCTTCTAGCTTCATCTGAACTTTGGCTTTTGCACTGCTCTCCATGACTCAAACAAATGAGAGCATATTGAGAAAACCTAGAAAGGATCACCAAATACAAACCTTTTAGACTATACTTGGAGGATCTCCAATCCAATTGCAAGTGGCGCGAGCCCAGCGTGTTCTAATGCAGTCTACCAAAGGTGCATGCTGGGCAGGTTCGGGTTTAGACACTTCAACAACAGTGTCTTTAGAGCTTGAATCGGAGGGCAATTTCACATCTGCCATAAATTCTTCAGGCGTCCACTTTGGGGGAACCGAGACCCTCAATTTTGTAAGCCTAGGTCTTTGTATGGGAGTCTCACCTCCAGAGGTTGCTTGGCCGCCATTTAAATCTGATTTTGCAATCCCATTAAAATGGTAAAGATCAAAAACCTTCTTACCCATCATTCCTGTTGAATCTTTTAAGCCTCCCAAACTCTTGTCTAAATCCAATAGCACCTGCCAGAACTCGCTCCATACAATAAAGCCTGAGCTGCAAAGGTGATCTAGCTTCTCAGGTGGAAGGTTAATACTTGTTTCCTTGAGAACGTGATGAAACCCTTCTACGCTAATGAAGCCACCACCCCCACTCTGATCTTGTGCATCGAAAGCCCTCCGGATCTGTGTTTCTCTCCCTTCAAATTCATTTTCATCTTGAACGGAGGTGTCGAGAGCAAATAAAACTGTATAGTGAGATTCACTCCCGATAACCCATATTGGCCATTTTGGGCATTTCAGATACAGGCCTACCTTACAGAAATTTAGGTATTCTAGAAGGGTAAGGAATCCAACTTCCACATTAGTGGATATGCCCTTCAAAAACATGTCACCACCTAAATCCATTCTTCCATCAAACACGTGGGCCACAGCCTGCCCGCAAAGTAGTAGGTTTACTATTTCCTGTTCAATCATTAACTCAAAAATTTACTGTACAAACCAGAATACAAAGATTTATAAGGGAGAGCATCTAATGTGGATCAATTACTGAAACACTGCTCAAGAAAAATGAATGTTTGATGTGACTGCAGATTCTGCACGTACCTGTGACGCATGCCCAAATGGAGCAGTGACTAAAGATTGACTTGGGTCATCCCTGTCTGCTTGAACGGAGTCCTAAAAGTACAAAGAATCAAAAACATATAAATGCATTAGTAACATAAATGACCCATGCAAAAATGTGAAAAAAACTTCAGTAAGTGCACATCCAAGTGTTGGCTACATAAGAAAACTTAGTACGAGTCAAGTTTGTGCAGGCACATAATAATGCATTGAACATCTACCCTGGTTTCCCACTGCAATTCGTTCACAATAATGTAGAAGGATAAGAAAATAATCTACAGGTGAAGTTTGTATCTTTCCAATCACAAGCAGAATCTAAGAAAACCCAAATTAATGCCCCACTCAACAATGCCAGTCTCAATATGATTCAACAATGCTATATCAACTACAAAGTACACATATGCTCTAGGATTGAAGAGGAGGCTTTACTCAAGTTGCAGCTTAATGAAGTTCAGGGTTTTAAGCTTCGTCACAAAAGGCAAAATCTCAGTAAATGATATATCATATCCATTTAACAAAAATATTATATAAAAGAATCTAGGAAATTTACATAAAACCTTCACAAAATGAAAATCTCAGTAAATGATATATCAAATCCATTTAACAAAAATATTATATAGGTTTCATATGCCACTCGACTTTCATTCTCAGTAAATGATATATCAAATCCATTTAACAAAAATATTATAAGGTTTCACATGCCACTCGACTTTCATACTGCAACTGTGCTAACACTCTGTTTGGATTGAGGGGTCAGGAGGGAAAGTGAAGGATTTGGAGGGAAAGTGTTACATATTATCATTTTTGGATTATTTTTTAGGGGAAGTGTATGGAGGGGTTCTGAAAGGAGAGAATACAAACATTTTCAACACTTGTCTTCCCCTCCAAAGAGAGTGTGAGACTTCAAAGTACGAAACTTAAAGAACTTGAGTAAGTAGAACATTCCGGATCTATGGTAGCCCAATTATATAGATTCAATAACATGAATTGACCCAAATTTGACACATGGACTGCTAATTAAGTCCATGTCTGGCCAATATAAAATTACCAAAATGACTCTTATAAACCTAAAAATATTTAAATGGTACTCACCAGCAGCATACTAATGTCTAAAATACATAACTAAAACCTTGAATTTTGCCCAAAACTTGATTAAAGTAAGGTCGAAAGCACACCCAGTAAGAAATTTCTAATTGTCTTCTCTGGAAGGTAGATATACCAACAGGTAATGAAATAACACTCAAAGCACTGTTATGCAAACAAACATACCAGTCCTCGAGAAAGTAAAGCAGAAATAAGGAATAGCATTGCCCCCATACGACTTCGGAAAACTGGAATCATTGCTTCAAGTGTCTGAAATGCACTAGCCTGTGAGGTGTATGTATTAACTCTCAAAAATTTCTGCAAGTCAGAACCTGATTCAATTGAAAGGCCTTCAAGTGCTTTCACAATGACCTGTGAGATTGGACATACCACAAATGAAAATTTTAATATGTGGAAGAGCTAGTGCAGTCAAATGAATGCAAGAATGATGTATTCCTTTAAAACCAGTTTCCAAGCATATGTAACTAAAGTGCATCAGCATCACAGAAAATGCAACTCACCTCATCCTTCAAACTGTCTTCCACGCCCTCAATGTTAAGGTCAAGAATACTCAATGTTGCAATTACAGCACTTCTATTATTTCCACATAGAAACAAAATCTCACCCATGCTTTTGACCAAGGCTCTGTAGAAAATTACAAAGAAAGTTTCAACAAACATTGTCATAGAAGGCAAAACAATCAACTAATGATCAATTATGAATATCCATGAAATTCTTCAACATGAACTAACATTACTTTCCAACTAAACGTATTAAAACCTGTTAGAAAAAATGAGTATTACCCCCCGTTCATTTTTCTAATGTTGGCAATTTCATTTCATAAAGCCTTTACTTTTTTATTTTTAACTTTGGTCAAGTCCACGAACATGGTCAGCAGTCGAAGATTTAGCATGGAAACTCTAAACAAAAGTGGATATTCAAAGAACAAGCGAGACTTGATAAAAAGGGTAAACTCATGCATTACAATAGCATATCATGTAGAGTTTATCTTTGTTAGGTTTTGGGTTGGGTTAATTTGAGTTCTTGACAGTAGATAATTAAGTTTTAGACTATTACTAAATTAGCTAATGTGCTTGGTATTGAATTTTGGGTTTGTACGTTCAGTTTTGGAACAAAGTTTTTAAAACAGTGCCTAGTACATTCATATGCATGACTGCTTCGTTGAAATGCCAAAAAAGGTTTCCAGGAAAATTAGTTTTAGTGCTTCATTAGTTCAAACTCACGGAGGTTTTGTTCGAACGAGCAAGGGTTTTCAGTCCGTAAAATTACATATTTTATGAACAGTGTGTTACCTGTTTGAACACATGATGGGTCTGTTCAAATGCATTAGTGTGCTTTCTAACTCGAGTTGTGTGTTTGGAATAGAATTCTTACCTATTCCAATTCCTTGTTCACTTAGTCATGGTAACCAGGGGAACACATCTTTATCCCTCCCTCTTCAGTGCCATGAAAATGATTCAGACATTATATAAGTAAAGCCCAAAGAGGGACCACCGGGCTTAGTTTAGTGTAGATATGATTTTTCACCCCTATTATCCACTGAAATGCCACAAATACAGGTTCATGACATAAAATGCTGTTGAGGTTATCTTCTCTCCTTTCCCTTTTTACTTTGAGTGGGTCAGTTACATGACATCAATGTATGCTATGGGCACACCGACATGCAATCGTTAATCACCTTAACTTTCTATCTTCAGTAAGAGAAGCAAAAAAGAACATCAGTAACATGACATCAATTTATGCTAGACACACCAACATGCAAATGTTAAAATCACCTTGACTTTCTATCGTCAGCAAGAGAAGCAAAAAGATCATCCGGTGCAATACATTCACTTTTAGATGATCTCCTTGAACCCAAATTTTGTGGCATATTTGTTGTAGCTTTACCCAATTCCTCGGGAAAAAACAGAAGGTATTTGAGGACAAATGCCTGCACAACCAGACAGGAAATATGGTAAGAAACATTAAAATAGATTATGAAATAATCATTAAAAGAAGATAGGATACCAAAGAGAATCAACAAAGTGTCAATAGCACCAGAAAGCAAAAAATTTGCATCCACAAATCTGTATTGGCCTAATGCATATAATACATACTGCAGATTACACATTACAACACAAGAATATAGTACTTTAAAGAATAAAAACTTTTGCCATAGATTAGAAGAAATGAATGATGAAAAGAATATGGTAAAGGATTAGAAGAACCATGAAATATGTATGTACTCTGAGGACATAGACCTAAATTACTGCAGAACAGTGAGATGAACTACCATAAATAACAGCATGGAAGAAAATAAAGACATTTAGTTGCAACCTTATTTTAAATCAATATGAACAAACTACAATAAAAGTGACTACCCATCAACTGCAAAATATGTCTTCCGTATTTCATATTAAAACAGTTACATAAATGGTAATAATCACACATAGCACTGACAGTGAATAGGGATTGCCAAAGCAGATGCTAGGCCTGACCTGAGTGATATGATCATGTAATGTCGTCATATAGGGAGGCCCTGTTTAGCCTTTTTTACAGTCAAAACATTATTAACTTTTATTGAGAAGATTGCTTCGAGTTCAAGCGTCTTCTCAAGGGTGGACTCAGGCCATTGATTTAGGCCCAAGATAGAGGCCAACATTGTCCCACCAATGTGTTGTCCCCTATCACCACCCCTTCACAAAAAGCTTACAACTAGCATGACACTTGCATCGATTGCAATAAACAAATTTCAATAATAAGAAATTACGAACATCTAAAGTCTTTTCTGAAAAACTGAAAAGCAACATTTATTAACCAAACCACCAGTCATAATTGAAATCCAAGCAATGTCAATTTTCTCCACAAATGACAATTCAAATGGTAAAATGGGCAGGCAGGGGTAGGATCCTTGAGGAAATTTAATTGCATCAGGTTATAGTTTTCTAACCTAAAGCACCTTAATATCATAAACTTAAGTATGAGCACAACACTTCTGTCCCTTTGCAATTCAATGCCCCCTGCCAGGTCACAGTGTTACCATTATTATTATTATTATTTGTTTTGAAAAAGATAAATATATCATTAAATCTCGGGTAAATTACAAACAACCCCCTAAGGTTTACTTAAATTACAAATTACCCCACGTGGTTCTAGAAATTACATTATGTCCCCTAAAGTTTCTAATTTCATAACAAATAGGTCCTTTTATTAATAAATAATCAAGTTAATTAATAGTTTTTAATAATGTTAAAATTTTATTTCAATTAATAATTCAGATAATATTATTATTGTATCAGTGAACAGTTTGAAATTTCAATTTTTCAATTAATTTTGTTAAATAAAAAATTCTGACAGGGAGGTATTTGTAATTTTTCAAACCATAAGGGGCAATTCGTATTTTAAGCAAATCTCAGGAGGTGTATTTGTAATTTACCCTTAAATCTCAAAAGAAAATAGAGAGTAATTAATTCTTAATTAATATAACTGGAACCTTGCATGCACTAAATGAGCAGTAATTTAGGAATTACCAACAGTCCTACACCATGATATTAGTCAAGAGTAGGGAAGCAGGTGAATTGAAAAATTAAATTACTAAACTGGCATTGCCCTATTTTTCTTTTAACTTATAATCCACAAGTACCTCCTTCTATGCTATGATGCACGAACATAGACACGGACACTACATGAACATGAAGTCACGCAAATTTTCAAAAAATAGGAGACACGACATGCTGGGGACACATTCAATATATATAATTTTATTTATTTATTATATGTCTACAATTTAAAAAAAAAAAAAAAAAATCATTGGAAGATAATTAATAAATACAGCACCCAAAAGATTTTATTTTTTCCTTAAAATAACATAGAACTAATTTGTTCTATGCATTTCAAGTTCAGCAAACAAGGGATACCCAAAAAATAGAAAAATAAGAAAAGGAACCAAGAGGAGAGAAACAAAATCAAAAAAGAAGAAAAACGAAGTAAAGAAAATAGAAGAAGAGAGAAGCAAAATCAAAGAGAAGAAGAGAGAAGTAGAAGTAGAATCGAAAAGAGAAGCAAAAGCTGAAGCAGAATCGAAGAGAGAAGAGAAGCCCTAACCAGTTGGAGAAGAGAAACAGAGAGAGATTGAAGGAGAGATGGATCGAAAGCCCTGAAGATGTTCAAAGAGGTGAATCGGAGGTCGATCGAAGGCACTTCTGAGGTATTCTTCTTCTTCTCTTCATTTTTCTTCATCTTCGTCTTCAATTATGTTTTTCTTCTCTTTCAATTTTGCTCAACTATGAAGCAGAAAAACGGACACGGACACAGATACAAACACGGACAAGGACACTAACACTGAAATGGTGGGGGACACGGCAAATTTTTTTAGTTATATATATATATATATATATATGGGGGACGAAAGTTGCATTGAAAAAAAATGAATAAAAAAAATAAAATAAAGAAGAGTATAATCAATATATATTAAAAAGAAGAGTATAAAGAAAAGATAAATTATAACCATTATAAATTAATTTTATCCAGAAAAATTCATAAAGAATAAAATTTGTTATACAATATATAAATTTATAAAGAAAAAAATAAATAAAAATAAACAATATATATTTATTATACAGAAATAAGAGTATAATTAGAAGAAAAAAAAATTTAAAAAAATAAAGAAGGAGAGAGTATAATCAAAATAAATAAATAAGAACCATACATTATAAATAGAAAAATAAAGAAAGAAAGAAAGGCAGATAGACGAGAGAGAGAGAGACGAGAGAAGAAGATGCGATGACAATCAAGAAGAAAGAGAGAGAGAGAGAGAGACAATAGGCAAGAGACTAACCAGGTCAGAGAGGTAATGGAGATCGACTGAGGTTTTCGCTAGATGAACAGGTTCCCTTTTCTCTTCTCTCTTTTTTTCTTCTGATTTTGGATTAGGTCTCTTCTCTTTCTTCGAATTAGGGTTTCTGATACCAAAAAATAGGTATTAGGGTTTTTGAAATGGGTAGGTCTCTTCTCTTTCTTCGAATTAGGAATTCGATTTTGTGTCGCGCTGTGTCCCCTGCCATATTCCATGCCCAAAAAAAAGATATGGGATGTGTCCATGGCGTGTCCCCGTGTCTGACACCACTACGACACCTATTTTGAAGCGTGCTTCACAGCTCTTTGATTTTGCTTCTCTTTTCTTCTCTTCGATTATGTTTCTGCTTCAATCACCTCCTCACTATTTCTCAAGTTTATTTTCCTCACACGTCCAAGATGCATCCGATTGCCAAAATTAAAAAAAGAAAGAAAAGGGACACCTCTTGTAGAGTGTCCGACACGTGTCCACTGTGTGTCGGACACTTGTACACTGCCTTCGAAGAGGTGACTATGCAATTCAGTGAGATAAAAAATGTGGGACAAAATAAGGCCCCATTAAATATATACTACGGATTTTTAATTTTGTGGTTTCTGATTATAAAATAGATGAACATAGAATCAATTGGCAAATATTACTAAATCAATGAGGAATAAAACGACAGATGCTTAGTATGTGCAAATTGAAGAAAACTGGAATAAAATATAAAGACAGCATCTATCACCCATCATATGTCCAACAAAAATTTCTTGTGACAAATAGATTGTTTGCCTAATTTATTTAAAAAATTTATAATGCACTGCAAGACCAATTTTTAAACATCCCATACTCCATTGATTACTTGAGTTCACTTTAAGTTTCTTGTGCACCTCTTCCAATTGAGATCTCCTTGACTGGTTGAATCATTGAATTTTGCATGATAATAGAAAAGAAAACTTGGGATTTGTGCTGCCTTCAAAGACTCAAGTGAAAGATTCTCTTCAATAATTCCAATACAAAACTATGATCTTCAACTCAACACTGCCTCCAACTTCAAGGGACCTCCACAACACACTTCAAACTATATAGAAAAGCTAGAACTTAGAGAGATCGAGGAGCTCAACAATTACAAAGGAAAATAACAATGCTATAGTGGATTGAAATGGTTGTGTTCATCCAGAAAAAAAGAAAAGAAAAGAAAAATTTACAACAGAGAGGAGTTTGATAAAAGATCAACCCAGTTCTCTAGCCTGGGAGATCCGCTATCCGCTGGCTAAGAGGGATCCATTACACATGTTAAATTAATTGCTAAATCACAAAAGTCTTTGGGTCAGAGCAATTGATGTATGAACTCAAATGAACAGGGACACTTACATGGTAAACTGGACAGTGTACACAAACTTCCAACAAATTGACAATAAAAACGAAATCAAACAAAAGCAAGCAGGAAAGAAGTCCAAGAGGCCATTTTGGCAAAGCTTTTAATTTGGATTATTTGAATTATAGCTTTAAAAAGGCTCGTGGAAGGCCTTTAGCAAGGCTTACTTAATTGTATTCAGCTTATATAAGCTTAATTAGCTTATTTTCAGTATATATATAACTAATTTTTCCTGCTAAAATGGTGCTTTTCTAGCTTTTGGATGCTGGACAAAAAGGCTCAATATTTTCATAATTATGAGCATACCCTTTTAAAAAAGAGTTAAGTTTAAAAAATATATGACCATTTTGGACTTTGTACTTCAAAACGTTACCTTTTTCTAATTTGCCAAACACTTTCAGTTTTTTCACATGTTATCCAAAAAGTAGCACAAAACACTTTTACAATTTATTTAAAGCAATTTAAGCCAATAATCTAAAAATTCATAATCTTAATAGCCAACTTTTAAGTTTTTCCAAATGAGAGTAAACTAAATTAAGTGTTGGTTTGGGATGTTAAAAAAAAATGCACTTTTTGACTCATTGGCTTATATGGGTTGGGTTTGATGTGATGTGTTAGAGAGGTGATGTGATTTAAATAAGATGATGTGACTTAAATAGGATAGTGACTTTTTGACTTTTTGTATTATTTAGGTTATGCCAAACTTGACCTTAGCTTAACAAACCCAAACTCCCTCTCCCTCTCCCTCTCATCTTCACCTAATAATACTCCACCTACATGTGTATGTGTTCTTTTCAGTTGAAGGTTATCATGAGGAAGAGAGTGATGTTGGTGGTCACTGGTGTTAGCTATTTGTGCATTCTATTGGTGATCACTGGTGGTGCTGGGTTGGGATCTCCATGTGATGGGAAGATGCACAGTCAGCTGGAGATGGGTTGTAGAAAAGGATTGAAGAAAAAAAAGGGCATTATTGTATTTTTATTCCCAAAATTTGTCCTAACAATATCACCATGCATCCCAGCCAAAGATGTGCAACATGTGCTGTTATATATGACAGTGTCTGTCAGTTTTTCACTTCACCCCAGATTACAAGGGGGTTATGAGTATTTTTCTAAACTAGAAGGGGGTAAAGTGTTTTCGAACTAAACCATAAGAAGGTAAAATGTAATTAACCCATTCTAATTTTACGAGACAATAATAGAGAAAATTGTCTATGGTTCTATTCTACGCTTTGTAAAACTCAATTTAATCCCACTAATCTTTTGCATCTTCAAAATAAAGGAAATTATAATTGAAATTTGAAAATGAAAAATAAGATATTTGTTTTGAATTCAATATACTTCCAAGACTCAGTTTCACCTCTAATTATTTACAATTGTTAAGTACATGAAAAGCAAATTAGAATCAAAAATCAAAACATATGAATCCATAACATGGAAATCTGTTTTAATTTCATGAAACTCTAAATATTGATTTCAATTCCCATTGTAAATCAATATTAAATGCTAGACAGATTTACAGAATCCAAAAATCAGCTCATTCCAAAAGTACTTACAACTTAATAGAATTTCTAGCAAACTTCCTCAATAAGTCAACCTATTCAAAGCACAAAAGTTGACCATAAGACAGCATAAAAGTAAAAAGGTAGATGGCACTAATTTTAGTACATCAGCTAATTCATCAGCATGAGGACTACAACAAACCCAATACATTTTTAATTAAACATCAAATTTTTATGCTTGTGGAGCTAAAGTGAGAGATCAAAGCATTACTTGTATGGCTGCTAATACACCACAAGGCCCACCTTCATGCTGCACTAGGCCCATAGATGTTTCTGGATCAGAGCTAAACCTATAGGAAAGTTCTTCATAGTATTAGCAAGTAAAGGGTACAATTTTGTATTGTGATTTAATGCTCAATTATAACAAAGAATTATAAAGTAACAAACTAGAATCCACAGAAAGAAAATAATGAAATTTGAAGAGAACAAAGATGCATGATACAATTGACATACAAAAGTAATATGCATGAATTCAACAAATTAGACCTCTTTATTTTCTTATTTTCTTGAATGGTAATTAAGCCTTAGATTAGAAAAGATTATAACAAAGGATTTATGAAAGTGAATCCCACTGCAAGAACAAAGCGGTTCTAGGCGTCAAAGCACAAAATAAAGTATTAGCATATGTACACTGAACATATTAAACAAATAGTGCACTATCATATAGAACTAGCACACTTCATAGCTGATTTTCTTAGAATATACCCATACTATACACAGGTAGAAATACAACATACGTGGATTAGGTTAAATTTGGTTGTCAAAAAAAATTGGCGTCAAAGCACAAAATAAGTATTAGCATATGTACACATGAACATATTAAACAAATAGTGCACTATCATATAGAACTAGCACACTTCATAGCTGATTTTCTTAGAATATACCCATACTATACACAGGTAGAAATACAACATACGTGGATTAGGTTAAATTTGGTTGTCAAAAAAAATTTGGATTAATACTTGATTCTGAAAATTGGCAGCTGAGAAGTGAGAACTAAGAGAATTGGAGCATTATGTGTGCAATTTTCGAGAAACTAAGTAGCTCTAGTGCAGTGATACTAGAAATTATAATTTTTCTTGGAAAAATTTAAGGCAATTGGGGTAAAGCAAAAAAGAAAAAAAATAGAAAGATAAAGATACTAAAGCTTGCAGGACTTTTTTAAAGGATTTCTGTTTGGCCTTGTAAGTATATAGGTGATGATGAAGTAGTTTGGTCTATGAAGCACGGGTACTCTAAAAATATTGCCGTACAAGTACCGAGAACTTACTGGGTGCAGGTAAGCGTACCGGGTATGCTGTGTTCTTTTAACATTTATGTTGGGTTCTCGTTGTTATTTTGGAAGCGTGACAATTTGGTATCAGAGCTACTGGATTTGAATACTTTGAGATCGTGGGACGTGATTTTTACCACAATGGGTTTGTCTCGCTAGATAGTATTAGAAGTAGACCTGATATGCTATGTGATAACATGTTTATGTAACTAGATGAGTATGGAATTAGATTTCTAAGATATTAATTAGATCTACGAGCTTTTAGAAGTCCTATTAGAATAGCACTTGATCACTGCTTGTTCTAATTGGAACTCTGGCAATGTCAAAGAACAATTGATTATCAGGGAAGGAAATTCGTTTGTGATTACGTGACTCGATGCTTATATGAAATGAATTAATTGTTATCCATTGTATTAGAACGTGAGTGAGTTAACTTCGGCACATTGGTAAATGTGTTAAATTATTGTGTACCTTTATTTGAATGTCAAGACGAGAACGTGGTGGTGGTAGGCGTGACAGGGCCAGGAGGCAAGCGGTGCTAATACTGGATGAAATTTTGACGCAAGAGGGAGTTGGCCAGGCCAATGTGGCCAAGCTAGCTGGTCAGCAAGCCATGGGCTCTTTAGTCCGCGAAATGGCCGAAGTATAACAAGAATCTATAGACATTCTCAAGACTATGAATTAAGTCCAGGCCCATGTTGCATAAACATGGCCATCATTCCTGAAGAAGGAGTTCTTTCGGTCGAATCCGGACGAGTTTTTAGGGGATCCGAAAGAGCCATTGAAGGCTGACGAGTGGCTCGAGCAAATGGTGAAGATTTTTGAGATGCTTGGCATCGAGGACGATGGTTTGAGGGTGACCTTGGCGTCTTTCCAACTGAAAGGAGATTCAGGTCAATGATGGAAGTATGCGCGAGGGCACATTGGGGTGAGTTGGGAGCCATTTGTCAATGCTTTCTAGGATAAGTTTTGTCAATACCTTCCAGGATAAGTTTTGTCAATACCTTCCAGGATAAGTTTTTGCCACCCACAACAAGAGAGAAGTTGAGGGAACAATTTCTGAATCTCAAGCAGCTAAACATGCCGGTAGCTGAGTTTAAGGCAGCGTTATCGAGGTCTGCACCGGAACTTGTGGCGACGAAAGAATGTCGTTGCATTGAGCTTGAGAAGAGGTTGAGGACCGAACTCCTTTTCAAGGTGGCTGGGTCAATGACTTGGGACTACGGTCGTCTTGTGGAGTTGGCGGCCCACTTAGAGACCGTGATCCAAACTGAGGAGTAGCGGATGAGGGACTCTAGGCAGAGATCCCAGGATGTTCAAGGGGATGCAAGGGACAACAAACGGCAAAGGGTTTCCACCCCACAGCAGTCCCAAGCCACACAGTCTAGATCAGCCTTTCTGGTACCAAGTTCGAGTTTGGGTTAGGGGAAAGGTAACCAAGGTGGGTTCACTTGCCTCAAATGTGGTCATTTAGGCCATAAGTCTTCAATTTGCCCGCAAAGGGGAGGAGGGCAACAATCTACACAGTCTTCGGCTCGCCCTTAGAGTCAAAGTCAAGAGAGAGGTCAGCCGCTTCCCTGTTATCAATATTATATTAGTTGTATACTTTGTATCAATTTTCATAGGACTTAAATTTGAGGCAGAAGAGGTGGATGGAGTTCATGGAAGATTATGATTTTGAGTTACACTATCATCTGAAAAAGGCCAACGTAGTGGCCGACGCTTTGAGTAGGAAATCCGTAAGCAGAGTAGCTAGTATCACCATTCGAGAATGGGAGATGTTGGGTGTAATGTGCAAGTTCGACTTGCATCTTGGCAAATCTGCCGAGTCGGCTGTTTTGTTCACTGTAGTTGCACAACCTACTCTAGTGAACTGAGTTTTAGAAGCACAATGGGAGGATCACGAAGTGGAGTCTATCTGGGGAAAGATATCTAGTGGAAAGATAGAGAAGGGCTTAAATATTTATTCTGACTCGAGTGTAAGATATCTAGATTGACTTTATGTGCCAAAATCTTGTAGAGCGAAGGTACTTCGAGAGTTCCACCATTCAAGCATTGCGGTACACTCAAGAGGCACAAAGATATATCATTACCTCAGTCGCCAGTTTTGGTAGAGAGGGATGATGAGAGACGTAGCCTTATCTGTTTCGAGGTGACTTACTTACTAACAAGTGAAGGCCGAGCATCAGCGGCCAGCGGATTTGTTATAACCCTTACCTATAGCCGAGTAGAAGTAGGAGCATGTCATGATAGATTTTGTTGTAGGTCTTCTAAGGACTCAATGGAGTAATGACGCAGTATGGGTAGTAGTCAACCGACTGTTCAAGTCTGCACACTTTGTACCCATGCGCACGAGTGACTCAATAAACTATCTTGCCGACTTGTATGTTAGAGATATGGTGTAACTTTATAGGGTTCCAGTGCCCATTGTTTCGGATAGAGATCCATGTTTTATGGCTCGGCTGTGACAGAGCCTACAAGGTTCCTAGGTACTAAGTTGACCTTTAGTACCGCCTATCATCCTCAGACTGATGAACAGTCCGAGTGCACCATTCAGATTTTAGAAAACATGATTCGGGCTTGAGTTATCAATTTTAAAGGGTTGTGAGAGAGGCACTTGCCTTTGGTGGAGTTTGCCTACAATAATAGCTTTCAAGCAAGTATCGGTAGAGCACCTTTTGAGGCCCTGTATGGCAATCCGTGCAGATCTCCTGTTTGTTAGGCAGAGGTGGGTGATGCACCTATGTTAGGTCCAGAGTTAGTCCGAGAAACTACGGAGCAGATTGTGTTTATTCGTAAGAGATTCGTTTCGGCTCAAAGTTGCCAGAAGAGCTATGCCGACTGTTAGAGGAGGTCTTGGTCATTTGAGGCAAGGGATCACATGTTTCTGAAGATATTACGAAAGCGGGGTTTGATGAGATTTGAAAAAAGCGAGAAGTTGTCTCCTAAATTTATTGAGCCTTTTGAGATTCTAGAGCGGATTAGGGAGGTTGTGTGAGAACCCGCATTTAATTATTCTTAGAAGAAAATTATAAATAAATTAATTAATTAATTTTATCCAGAGTCTATCTAATATATATATATATATATTAGTGTCTAAGTTAGTTTTAAATTAACCCATAACAAAAACATTGTTAAGAATAATAATTTTGTAGATATTCAATATTTATTGTTTATAATTTATTTTAATAAAGATTCAACATAATAATTATCCTTACTAAATAGCTCAGTTAAAAACCTTAATTAATTTTAAGAAACTCACACAAATACACACACAAAAAAAAATCAGACTTTCAGGGGTAGTGTTGGGTGACACTTGTATGCATGCATGTTATTGTAGGATATAGACCCTCATTATATCTCTTGGGTTTAGAAAATTCGATGGGACTAAATAGAATTATTAGAAGAGAGAGAGACAGAGCCTCAGGTGAGGAGTCCCTATTTATGCATACATACAGTTTACATCTTCCTCCTCAAACTGATCGGAGGGAATTTTGTGAGCAAGCTAAGCTAATTAGGGAGAAGAAGAAGAACAGAAGATCAGAGTCTATAATTTTTTTCTACCATTTCATCACCCCAATTCAATCCTACTACTAGGTAAGAAATCGTCTCAACCCTCTCATTCTTTTTAGTTGTTAAAATTTCAGAATTATGTTCACAGCAAAAATTTGGATAAAATTTTGTTTATAGTTGTATGTAAATTTGTGATTTGTATGTTTAATATTTGAAGGTTATTTTTATTAGTAGTCTTAAAATAATGATATAATTGTGAAATTTGACCTGCATGTGTAGTCTGTGCCACTAAAGAAATGATTAAAGATTTTATTTGGTTTGATTATATAACTCTTAAATCTACCAGAAAGCTATACGAATTTTTAGACAAAATTTTATACTCAAAATTTTGAGATGATTTCTTCTACAAAATTGTTGAGAATAATGTCTAGTTCACCAAGAATTTTCGTAACAATTATTTTAGTTTTGTACGAATTTATACAAAATTTTAATTAAATCTGAAGC